CCATCCCAGCTCATCCCAGTGGTCTGGAAACTGGTGTTGGAGCTGGAACCTCTGGATCTGGATCCATCCCAGCTCATCCCAGGGTCCATCCCAGCTCATCCCAGTGGTCTGGGCACTGGTGTTGGAGCTGGAGCCTTTGGATTCAGGCTCCCTGTGTCTGTCCCAGCCGGTGTCCCTGGAGCCAGAGCCCATGGATCTGGATTTGGATCTGGCCAGGCTCCCCCGTGTCTGTGCCCAGCTGCCAGGAGCTGCCCTGGCCTGGCCTGGCCAGGGAGGAAATGTGTCCCGGGAGGATGGAGCAGAGGATAATCCTCCTGGAGCCTGTTGCTCCCAGGCTGAGAGTGAATCAGCCGGAGCCAGGAGACTCCTGGCAAAGGCTGGAAGAGCCAGAAGCATTTTATTTCCTACTGCTGCCAACATCCCCTGGAGAACCAGGATCACCCTGACCCCTCTGGGCTGGCAGGAGCTTCGGGAAGCTGCTGATCCCACGGGAAGCTCCGTGTCCCCCTCCCCTCCCCGAGCCCTGCGCACGCCTTTCCGGAGCCTCTTCCGTGTTCCCGAGGCTGGGAATGACGTCCACGGGGCAGGAATTGGTGTCCCAGTGTCTGAGCTGGCACTGGGACAGGGTGGGAAGTGCCAGTCGTGGATGGCCCTTCCTGCTGGGAGTTAGGGACACTGGGAATGCTCAGGCTGGAGCAGTTGGAAAAGCCCTGGAGAAGGGATCCATGTCCCCTGGGTCATCCCTCCCCGTGCCAGGCCCCTCCTGGCTCCCACTACATGCTCTCAGTCCTGATCCCATTGTTTGGGCCTGTTGGCATTCCATGTGTTCCATGCTCCAAAGGCTCCAGCTCCAGCCAGAGCTGCCACCTGACCCTGATTCCGGAATCTGGACATTTTCCACAGGTGTTCCTTCCCCTTTGGAGCCTTAGCAGCTCCAAATTTGCTGATTCCCATCCCTTCCTGGCTGCTCCACTGCTTTCCAGAGGGATAATTGCTAACTCCGTAGCAGCAGAGTTGTTTTCCAAGTGCTGCTGCAGCAAAGAGCTCTCAATCCCTGCACAGCGAAGCACTTAAATCCCTGGAAATAGGTGGATCTGGGAATATGGATGGAGCAGGAAGGAATGTGGCTCCAGACATGGAGCTGAGCCTTGCTGGGATGGGAGCAGTGGGTGACACAATCCCTTTGCTCCATGTGACTGGATTTTCCCTTCCCTGTGGCTTTTCCAGGTGGAGATGTGACAGCAAAGAACATCTGGTTGGCTGAGAACGTCCTGGAGATCCTGACAGAGCAGAGGTACAACTGCTTGGAAAACAGGGAGACCCTCAGCTCCCTCCCAGGGAATTGTCATCCCCTTTTCCCAAACAAGCCACGGCAGGAATTCCAGCTCTGGGAGACCTCTTGCTGCAGGTTGTACCTTCCCAAAATTCCCAAATCCAGAGGGTTGGGAGCAGCTCTGATGTCTCCTCCCAGCTGTCTCCAAACCTTTCTCCAGGTACCTGAGGGCTCCGGAGCACTCATGGCTCTGGACCAGCATCCCGGGAATACTTCCTTCCTGAGTTTCCCGAGCTGTGGGGGAGGAGTTCCTTTGGGAGCAGCAGGACACAGTTAATTGCCCGAAGAGTTTCCTGTGTTTCAGCAGCTCCTGCTCCCTGTGCCAGGGATTAGCCAGCTGGGAAGCTGATCCCAAGCTCAGCATTGTCAGCCAGGGATGGTCCACAGAATTCCTGCCAGCACAATTCCCACCTGGAGCCTTCCCTGGGCAGAGACAGGGCTTGGAAGTAGCTTTGCTCCAAGCTGGAATAGCAGTGACTTCTCTAAAATCCCTTCCTGCCTTAGATCCAGTTGTTCATGTGTGATTCTTGGGATTGTTATTCCTGAAATTCCTCTTGTGTGCCATCTCCAGGCTGGGAAGGAGGGACCCTCTGGGCTTGGCTGACCTCTTCCTGATGGATTTTCCTGCTGCCTTTTTCCTGTTTCAGTCCCTGTCAGATCCTGATGTTGCCTTTCCATGTGCTGGTGCCACTTGGTGCCTTGGAAGTGTTTCTCCTCTCCCTACTCTTGGACGTGATCTTCATCTCCCCAGTCTTGGAATTCTCTTTGTCTCCCCAAGAATCCCTAAAGATCTCCCCAGATAAGGAATTCTCCTCCTCTCCCCAGTCTTGGAATTCTCTTTGTCTCCCCAAGAATCCCTAAAGATCTCCCCAGATAAGGAATTCTCCTCCTCTCCCCAGTCTTGGAATTCTCCTCCCCAATCTTGGAAGTTCTCCCCACCTCCTCACTGTTGGAAGTGCTTCTCCTCTCCCTAATCTTGGAAGAGCTCCCCATCTGCCCAGTCCTGGAAGTGCTTTTCATCCCCCCAGTCTTGGAATTCTCATCCCCCCAGTCTTGGAATTCTCCCCTTGTCTCCCTAGTCTTGGAACTCTCCTCATCTTCACAGTCTTGGAATTCTCATCCTCTCAGTCTTGGAATTCTCCCCAATCTTGGAAGTACTCCTTGTCTCCCCAGTCTTGGAATTCTCCCTTGTGCCGACGAGGAGCTGCAAACATCTGGATCACAGGAGAACCAGCAGCTGCTCCATGTGGTCCATGACAGCTCCAGGAGCTCCTCCCTGGGATGGATGTGCCGGATCAGGGATGGCATTAATTAGCCCTAGGAGGTGGAGCTGAGTTAATTAGCAGCAGGCCCTGAGCAGTTCCAGGGATCTGACCCTTCTCTGGGGCTTTCCCTCTGCTCTGCTGGATCCATGGATCCTGAGGCTGTGACAGGGTGGTCAGTGGGAAAGGGGGAACTGCTCCCTGAATTCCAGAGGGAACCTGCTCCAGCATTCCAGGAGAGGCTGGGCAAGCAAACCCTTGGGATCTAGGGAAAGCAAACCCTGAGCTGGTGGGAGATTCCCATGGTGGAACAAGATGAGCATTCCAATCTCTTCCAGCCCATTCCATGATCCATTAAGTCTCTGTCCTTCATGCCACAGTTTCCCCTGTCCCAACCCTCCGTGTTCATTTGGCTTCAGGCTCTGATCCCCTCATGGCTGTGGCTCCAGGCCCCCTCACAGGCTCCAGTCCATGATCCCCTCACAGATGTTGCTCCAGACTATGATCCCCTCACAGATGTTGCTCCAGTCCACGATTCCCTTCCCTCTGTTGCTCCAGACTATGATCCCCTCACAGATGTTGCTCCAGTCCATGATCCCCTCACCGATGTTGCTCCAGACTATGATCCCCTCACAGATGTTGCTCCAGTCCATGATCCCCTCACCGATGTTGCTCCAGACTATGATCCCCTCACAGATGTTGCTCCAGTCCATGATCCCCTCACCGATGTTGCTCCAGACTATGATCCCCTCACAGATGTTGCTCCAGTCCATGATCCCCTCACAGATGTTGCTCCAGACTATGATCCCCTCACAGATGTTGCTCCAGTCCATGATCCCCTCACAGATGTTGCTCCAGTCCATGATCCCCTCACAGATGTTGCTCCAGTCCATGATCCCCTCACAGATGTTGCTCCAGTCCATGATCCCCTCACAGATGTTGCTCCAGTCCATGATCCCCTCACAGATGTTGCTCCAGTCCATGATCCCCTCACAGATGTTGCTCCAGTCCATGATCCCCTCACAGATGTTGCTCCAGTCCATGATCCCCTCACAGATGTTGCTCCAGTCCATGATCCCCTCACAGATGTTGCTCCAGTCCATGATCCCCTCACAGATGTTGCTCCAGTCCATGATCCCCTCACAGATGTTGCTCCAGTCCATGATCCCCTCACAGATGTTGCTCCAGTCCATGATCCCCTCACAGATGTTGCTCCAGTCCATGATCCCCTCACAGATGTTGCTCCAGTCCATGATCCCCTCACAGATGTTGCTCCAGTCCATGATCCCCTCACAGATGTTGCTCCAGTCCATGATCCCCTCACAGATGTTGCTCCAGTCCATGATCCCCTCACAGATGTTGCTCCAGTCCATGATCCCCTCACAGATGTTGCTCCAGTCCATGATCCCCTCACAGATGTTGCTCCAGTCCATGATCCCCTCACAGATGTTGCTCCAGTCCATGATCCCCTCACAGATGTTGCTCCAGTCCATGATCCCCTCACAGATGTTGCTCCAGTCCATGATCCCTGGTGGCTGTGGCTCCGGGCTGTGATTCCCTGAGGCTGGAGCTGTGATTCCCTGCAGGGAGTGGGTGCTCAAGAGCAGTCTCCTGATCGCCATGGCTGTCTACACCTACCTGCGGCTCATCGTGGACCACCATGGCACCTCCCAGCTCCAGGTGCTGCGGCAGAAGGAGGTGGATTTCTGCATCTCCCTACTCCGGGAGAGGGTGAGTGAGTGCCCTGGGATAGCTGGGAAGGGATTCCTGCTCCCTGGGGATCCGTGTCTGCGCACGGAGACGTCATCCCTGGGCCCGAAGGTTGGGACGTGCCGGTTCCTCCGTCGCTCCCGGCTCGTCCCCCCCGGACAGGGCTGAGTGGGGCCCTGCAGTGACCCTGCCAGCAGCTCCAGGCCATGTTTGGGTGTGGATCATGCAGGAGAATCCACCAAAGCTGGATGTAATCCCAAATCCTCACGGCTTGGACC